GAAACTTAACTATCTTATCGAGGGATTGAAAATTATTACGTGCAGATATAATAAGGCGGACCTTTTCTTTTCGGGTATTACATTTGATAGCATTATTTAGGATATCTTGCGAATTGTTTTGAAGAACGAGGGCATGTCGAAGTTTTCTCCATTTCAATCTGAGGTGCTGACGCACATGCTTTCTTCTAATTGGCCCATCAGATCTTTTTAAACCTAACCACCGCCCAAATGCAACCCACAAACGTTTATTATTGGATTTTTCTATGAATGGACCGTTCTCATGATTCGATTTGCTGGTAGATTCGGGACAATCCTTGATAATAATATCTGTATCGATTAACGAGAGGAAATCTGGAGGAATTTCAGTAAGCCCTAAATAGTCGGTATCGCCATATCTCGCTTCCCTAATTAACGCTTCGATCAGTATATCTCGTGATGAAATATCCACCAAAATTTTATTTTCTTTAGTAGATACACGATCCCAGGAAGAGATGGGAACGCTAGTCCACTCTTTTTCCAAATAATACACTTTATCGAGATTCGACAATCCACGGGTAGCATATTGGGTACGGTGCTAATACGTTAAATAATGCAATTAAGTTCGCTTTAGTTGAAAGATAGCTCACGCTTATATATTTAAAATTAACAAAAGGTAATAATTGTAAACTTTGGTGAAGAGTTATATTTTGTAGAACGGAAAGATTACCATTGCCAAAATACTGAGCAACCTAGTAGGAAGTTGTTCGCATGCCGAAACGGACAACTCGCCGAAGCGAACTCGTAATTAACTAATAGGCGGGAAATCAAAGCAACACTACTCGACGAGTCGTTAGGAATTTTATTTCCTAGAGCCAATGTCCTACTCGAGAAGAATAGCGTTTACTTTCTCGGAAAAAGAAGCGAGGTAAGTAACGTTGATAATCGATAAGGGGTATATATACAATGATCGCCTGGTTGGCTGGAAATGCGCCAATCACGCTCCGCAAAATACACATTAAAGAACAAAAATCTGGTATAGGCAAACTTTATTATAAGGCCTAAACTGATGCTTTACAAAATCTGGATATTATCAAACAAATTTGTGTAGAGCATTAATCTTAGAAATGTTTATCAATAAGATTATTACGACCAGCACCATCCATGACTAAATGGTTTTCATTCATATTAGATAGAGATGGTTCAGGGTCTTCGTCATCTTCGCTTATTACCTGATAAAAGCTTATGTAAATCATCATTTAATCCATGGTATTCCAACTCGTCATTTTTAATTTGTTTGTCGCACACGGCACACCAATTTTCTTTACCTGTTATTAGTAAAAATATTACACCGAGATACTTATTCGAAACGAGTGTATCACGTATCAGTGAGGCGATCCAATCAGATTGTTAGAATCGCATATCGGTAAGTGACTTTGCAAGAAATAATTGATAAAAAATACATGACAAATTTCTACCTTCCAAATCATTATGCAAAAAGTAAAAGCGACCCATCCATACGTGAAAATTATTGTTAAGAGTATCATGTATATGTCATTGGTTTATTTGCACAAATTAGCGGAGCTAGTACAAGGTGCAAAAAAAACAATATTGCTGAAACAACTGGCACAAAAGAAAACTCTTGAATAAAATGAATATACTAATAATATACACATTGAACTATTTCCTATATCTTATGGGGTCTTAATAGTAGTATCTTCAGAAGAAGAATGCGCATCTTCCTTGGTGGTTGCCTTAGATTTCTTCAATAAAATATGGCTGATTTCATGAAGATTCACCAGAATCCCATTCTAAATAAAAAATCAACCATAAAATATCAGAATTCTAATTTTTGATTTTCAGCGAAACTGGTATAAGGTGCCAAAATTTCTTACCCGCAAGATCAGTAAGGCATGTACAAATTCTTCAACTTCATTCACCGTTTCGTTATGAAAAGGCAGCTTGGCTTTTATGATAGGGAGGTAAAATTTTATACCTTTTTCTCGCAACAATCCATATATAACAATATGATGGTCATCTAATTATTATAGAAGATAGGCTATTATTTACATTATTGAAATGAAATATGTTTTTACCTGTCATATTGATACCAAACATAATATAAAATTTATACAGCTCGTTCTTTTTAGTCTTTTTTGACATATCAGTGTATCCGTCTAAGCTTAAACGTGCTAGCTTGTTATGATCATCAAGGGTTTTTGTTTCTGTCGATTTCCATTTCCCACTTTCGACATATGCGAGTTCATTCCACTTTTGTTTGAAAAATGCGCGAATCATTAAGTCTGGTTTGTTGCCTCTTGAGCCAGCCACTTGTCGATTTTTTCGTTTTTTGCTGGCGACACTTTGACGATCATTTCTCGTTACTTCGATGTCAAAGTCAACTGGCATTTGATATATCGACGCCTCTACAAGACGTGTTATAATGTCTACGAGAGCATTCTCCGAAGACTTAGAAATTTTACGAAGAGCATTCCTTTTAGTTTCTTGCAGAAGCGTATCTGTTATATTTATCGCTATTTGCGCCCTGTTGTTTTCGCCCTCAATCCAGTCCTTATGTCTTCTTGTTTCTGAAGGCGCAATGATGAATTTACACTGGTTCTGGATTTCATTTCTTTTTATGACAAAGTCTGCACACACTCCCTTTATCAATGCACCTTTTTCTAAGTTCCTTATGCCACCTTTCTCACCCTGCATAAACAAGTCCCAAATATGACATACGATCAATATAATCCTTGTGAGAATATAAATTACTCACCACAAGATCATCGTAGTCATCTTCCATTAATTGATATTGAGAAGATCCGAGGTCAATTATACCGTTAGCCAATGGGTTATCATAGGTTAAATCGTTAATATCTACGGCTTGCATCTCCTCAAGATGTTCGTGTATCGATGTGTTTGCTTTCTGATAATTTGGAATTGGTAATATGATTAGTTATATATGGTTCCTGACAAAATAAATATGCGCCCAAAATACCTGTAATCTATCCTTTAAATTATTGATATTAGATATAGCATGATCTTTCCAATTCGGAGGTTCATCAATCTCGAATCTTTAAAGATAGAATCGTTATATATATTTCTTTTTATTGTATTTTATTTCAGAAAACACTTACCGAATTATGTCTGCATCTACTAATAATTTTAATTCTTTCCATATATATCGTATCTGCAAAAAATAATATTTACATTACTGAATACTCGAAAATAAAAGGTTATAATACGATAAACCAATGTATATCAGATCGATTATTCAGTGAGCCGGCATCACTGTTACTGCGTTCTCGTTAGCCAATTAGCATCTCACTGCTTACAAATCCTCATTGCATTAAGTAATACAAAGCTGAAACTTCTCGCAAATGGTTTATGGCCAGTCACCATCGCTTACGGATCCTCTTTATATTCCGTACACAATGCTGAAGCTTCTCGCAAGTGATTAACGAACTAACAAGGTGTCCCTATCATCATATAAACAAAAATAACATATATTAATGAATGATGACATATACCTTATCGATATCTTGTAATGGTGTAAGATATTGCTTTCTATCGTTATCAAGATTTTTTGTTGTCAACTCTTTTAAAATCTCCAAAAGACAGTTACAGTCGTTTTCTTCTGATTGTATACCACTATGTGTCCATAGTTCATGAAAAGCTCTAGAAAGAGAAATTTTATTGAGCGTTTCGTTTCGTAAAAAAATCTTTTAAGGAGTCAAACTCCCCGTGGGAAGTCATTGTGTTGAGAAAAATTTAAGAAAATAAGTGATAAACGAGATTGATAATCAGTAAGCGCTACATATACGACGATCACCTAATACGTATCACAGACAGGGCCGATGATTTTCTGCTGTGATATAATGTGAATTCTGTCTGTGGTTAGGTCGTGATTTTGTACTGTGCTGTGATCAAATTTGAGTAAATTCTGTACTGTACTGTAATCGAAATTTATAAATTCTGTGTTATTCTGCTGTGAACTACATTTGAATGATTATA